GACATAACATCCAGAACTATGACCTTCACAACATTTGCCACGACTTTCATGAATGCGAGCCAACCAGTACATTGAGTGTTATTCCCAGCACCGACGAAAAATATATATCGTTAAGCATCAGAGTCACAATTAAAACTATAAAAAGAAAGAACGGAACTGATGAAAAGGTTTCGAGTTTTCAGATTCCTTGACTCATGTAAGTTTTTAAAATCTTCCTTGCAGAATTTAATTGATAATCTACCAGTGCAAAAAATTTCGATTTTAAGCGAGTATTTTGCAAACGAGACGGAGGAGCAAGGAGTTCTGATACGACGAAAAGGTTTCTTACCCTAACCCTAAATGGCTAATACAGAAAGTATTGCAGAAAAAGAACAGCCTCCCTTGTAGCAATGGTCCGATTTTTGATTGGAGGAAAAATTGCAAGTTCAGAATCGGATCTAGAACATGCAAGGAAAGTTTTTGGAGAGTTCAAATGTCAGAACTTGGAGAACTATCACAACTTGTTTTTCAAGTGTGATACACTCCTTCTTGCTCGCGTCTTTGTGTTTTGCCAAATTAGTCACCAAATTTTTGACCTGGATTGTTCGCACCAGTTCAGTGCATCCAACTTAGCTGAAGACGCCTTCAAAGTTATCTGCAAATACTTGAAAGTTAAGATATTATCAGACCGCAAGCATCTCGAAAGGTTCGAGAATATGACGCGAGGTGGCTCTGCATCTGTGTTACATAGTCCCTTTTTCAAAGCAAACACCAAGAAATGCCCCGACTTCAACCCAGATCAACCTTGCACCTACGGGTTTATGATAAATGCGAATAACCTCTATGACGGCGTCATGCAAAAGGAAAAAAACGCGGTGCGTAACTTTGAGTTAAAAGAGTATAGAGAAGACGAGGTAATTTTCAACCAAATGCTTAAATCTTCTGAAGCCTCTCTGATTGGATTTATATTAGAAGTTGATCGGTAGTACCCAGAAGAATTTTATGACAATCATCATGATTACAATTTAGCGACTACCGAAGAAACAGTACCCCAGGATTGGTTGAGTCACTACCAAACAAAGTCACTCGGACAAATGAGAAATCAAGATACTGAAAGACGTTCAATTGGTAAGACCAAAAAGTTACTGCAGACATTGCATGAGAAGTCAAACTATACAATTCATTGCAAAGTTTTGCAAATGTATGTTCGGTTAGGATTGAAGTTAAAAAAATGCACCATGTGCTGATCCGGACAGTCTCCTGTACGAAATCAAAAGTGAAGGTTTATACCGCAAAACTTCCGAAAAAAAGAAACATTTTTGAATAAACTTGAACTGTCAAATTACGCGAAGAACCGCCGTCTCTCCGATCAAAAAACAAAATAGTTTTTGCTCGAAGAAAAATTTAATTTGTATTTCAAAAAAAAAATATTTTACTCGGAGATTTTTGTTCTGTATAGCAAACTTTTAATCGGTCGGCAAATTTTTTTGAAAAAGAAAAATTAGGGAGAGGAAGCTTTTTTGAAGAAAAAAGTTTTTTTTTGGTCGGCGAAAACTTGTGCGCGGAATTTTGTTTGGGCGTAAATTTTTTTTTGAAAAAAAAAAATTTTTGAGCGGGAGTTTTTTTTTTTAAATTTTTTATCGGCGAAAAGTTTTTCTGTCCACGAATTTTTTTTGTGATGACCGATTTTCAGTTTTTTGAAATTTTTTTTTGATGAATGATTCTTGAGGTCACACTTGACCTTCAGGTCGCTTTTTGTTGCACCTGGACTTCAAGTTAAAATGATGTAGCAGCAACAAAAAAAGATTCCATTTTTTTGACAACACCTTAGTGATCATCGTTAAATGGGCTAGTAGTCATTTAATTATACATTTAGAATGCAGAAAACTATCATCCAAAAGTGTATCAAAAACTGCTCAGAAAGTGTTGTTTCATCAGTGATATCGAGTTAGCTTGACCTCTGGCTGGTTATTCAAAATTAAAAACAGTCGAATCGCATCCGAGTCACACAATCTGCAAATTGTTACTTCGACGAAAACATCTTAATCAGCTTTCGATATCCTCGTTGATGGCCAGCAGGCTGTTCCCTACGGTCACAAAAACATCTTGGGTCAATTTGCGACGGCATTGATGATAGCGATGACAACGTCGCCGCTGCAAATTCGGGTCCAACTGATGATGACGATTTGGAAAAATTGAAGCCATTTTTTAAAGATGCTCAACAGCCAGTGTCGAGGGATTGTGACATTTTCCTAGATGGGATGTCCTAGATGGGGTGTCAACAGCAAACTTTTAAAAAGCAGGCCCAAAAAAGCGTTTTAGGCACTTTTTTGGACAATTTTGACCAAAACGTTGCGTTTTATTGGCGGCGCGCGCTTCTCCTCAAAATCAGTCATATTGTAGCCAAAGACGTCTTCAGAGATAATTTGGGTTTGGTCAGCGAAAACTGGATGTCATTAAGTTATACCAAAGGGGGTACCCTGTGGAAAAATTTGGCCACCAGAATTGAGAAAACGCGGTCGCCCCCTCCTCCACGGCACGCTGCTGGTTGCTATGGCAGAACGCGTAATTCTATGATACAAATTATGAAGATCAAATATGTTCAGGGCTGTTAGTTTCTTCACTGGCATTTTTCATAGAAATTTTTTAAAAATCGAAATTGAAAGGTGAAGCAGCAAAGTGGATTTTTTTTGTCAAAATAGGGTCCCTGTAGTGAACTCGGAAATTCAAATTGATTGACATGTTTCATCCAAAAACGGTTATGCGCTAAAATTTTTTGTGAGTAGCTGAAAATGGTGGAAACCTTCATAGCTAAGGACCGAATTGGTTTAAACAAAAAACCAACCAATCAGAATTCAGTATTCCAAAATTTGAAAAATGCGAGAAAATCTCGAAGAAAGTAAACATTTCCAACGAGTTATTTTTAGTATTAGCCGGATATTGGCAGAAATACGCAAAGTTTTCAAGTTGTCACTGAATGCCGATGAACTGGATTAAGTTTTGTATTTCAAGGGATTCGTATAAAAGAAGCAAAATAATGCTTAAATTAATACATTTTACTACGGCAATTGATTCGTTTTAATAATTGACTCTCGACTGTTTTTGTTTTCAGTCCTTCGCCCATGATTTTTTTGCCCATTTGGTCCGTTGCTAAAAAGAATCGATTTTGCTGAAAACATTTTCTCACGGTCAATATAATTTTTTTTCTAACCATATTAATTAAGTTTGCAAAACAGTTATGAAACTGCGCATTTTTGAAACAGAATCTTAAATTTACCTGTTTTTCGCTCATTTGTGCAGCTCAAACTATTAGGTCTAGAGCTGTTTTATTTGATTGGTCTCAAGCTATTATGTATTTTCAAATCTAAATTTTAATCCTCTTCAGAAGAATTCTTATTTACATGCAACCACTATTTCTGATAACTTTTTTTCTGATAACATTACGATGCAAGACACTGCGAGAAAACTCAGTCATTACACCTACAACGTTTAATTTGCTCTAATTGGCGTGGATATTTGAAACACATTTCCTCTTTTTGCTGCCTTCAACTGTTTCATACTCACTGTTGTTTTTAGCTTCTTGTCATTTTCAGAATTGAAAAGATTATTTTCAAGGCACATATATTTAACAAGGTTGGACGATTATTGCTAATCATTTGCCGTTAATAAAATTCTTTGTACCAGTTTTACCAAGTTTCATTTTTGCTATCTGAAGCTTTTGTTTCATCACGTGGAAACTTTCCTTTTCTCGGTTGTCTACATTCAAATGTTTTGCCTAGAAATTGAGTTCCAACTGGTTTTATCATCTTATGAAACTTAGAAGTTTTTTATCATTGAACAGCGTGGGACTATGCAAATGGAGCATACAAATCCTTTTTGTTACGACTTCATTACGAGGCTAAACTGTGCACTGCATAGACGCACAATTTTGTGTCTGTATGTTTCTAAATTCCAGAGACAAGTCTTTAAGCATCTTGAAATTCTATAGGAACGATCGAAGAAAACGAAAGAAAAAATAGGAAAAAAGCGAGCTTCTTTGTTGTGAAACCCGCTTTCAATTCACAAATCACTCATTTTGGCCTCGAAAGTTTTTCGAATATAAGCGAACTATCAATGGTGGTTTTTTCCTTCAGTCACTTTTTTTTGCTCATCGATTTCAAAGATTTTCTTTAAAAAACTTTATTCCCCAAAAAAGATATCGACTCCCTAAAATTATATGTAATAGGATATTTTGCATCCAATGGTTTTTCGTAAAGTTCTGAGGGTACAAAAATTGTCAGTTTGGCCTTGCTCTGAACTAATTTTTGCGCGCTTTGAAGTTTTTAGTTATTATTCTGAAAGTCTATTGCGATGGGTTTAGCGCGGCAACTTATCCCGCGCAACCAAATTGGTCATTTTTTCAGTCCCCCATTGATTTTTTTTTCAATAAATCAAAAAATTAAAGTCTGCTCAAAATGATTTTTTCATGTAATAGGCTGCACAGAAACTTATCAGCGTTAACACGTGAACAGATTGTAACAATACCTCCGATTGGCCAAAAGTCGCTTTCTTAGAACTTTTTTTTATTTAAAATCTTACAACTTCTAAATAAATTAGGCTCTAAGAATGTTACAAGATAGTGACTTTTCTTAGAAGAAAGTGGTAACTCAGAAACTTTTCTAACAATATTTTATCAAATTTTTTGCATCTATTTTTTTTCAGTTTTCTTAAAACCAGTTTGAAATTTCACTGTTATTGCAGTATAGAATAACTGAAAATCGGAGGCTCAAAAAAATCGTTTCGCTACATGCATTTGCTCAAAAAACCACAAACTTTATAAAGTAAGTTTCTCGATAATAAGCAGAGATCTCGTCAATATATACCTGATCATCAAATTTAACGCGTCCACAGCTGTTTGAAATGATCGTCAAAATGCAGTTTTTATTGTCTCCAAAATAATTTTAAAACTCTAATTAGGTATAACTTGGATATTAATTGAAAAAAACTCAAGTTTTTTTTGTTGCGGAAGTTTTGGTCGAAATACTTATTAAATAATAATGTTTTCAGATATTAAAATGATCAAAACGTGCAGCCTTGAATATCCCTGTTTTATTATCAATTTGTACATATGCTTTTGAATATTTAACAAGGAGCAATTCTTTCTCACTTGAAAATTCTTGAGAAAACTTCCGACAAAATCAAGATTAAAAAACAATTTATGAATGATTTTTCAAGAAAAGTGATAGTTAATGGTCTAAAAATTTCTATTTTTGCTTGAATAAGTTGCTGTAGCAATTGATCATGGGAATCTAAAGGAAAACAAGTACAAATTACATAAAACAATCAGATGTTTTTAGATCTAATTTTTTCTCTACCAGAAATTTGTCTTTTTTCTACAATAAAAATGTATGTTTTGGTATTTTCTTTTTTCACTGGTTAGAAATAGAACAAATAACAAATGGAAAAATGAAAAAATTTTCAGAACTTGAATTGAGTATCGAAAAAAAGACAAGAAGTCTCATTTATCTCACTTTGGTATCAAATGTATGTGTTAGTTGAAGTGTGCGGCACTCTGGTATCCTGTAAGATTCGATAAAACCTGCTTCAATATCTGTAAATTATCGGCAATGTAAGCAGATAATATGAAAGTAATTAGTAAACGTTTTCCGGTTAACATGTTTTCAAACGGTTTTCAAGCATCTCAAAAATCTATAAACATTTTTTTATGGCAAGCTGACCTTAATCGGACAAACCAGCAGTTCAAGTCCTTTTGTCTAAGAAAAACTAATTTTAGTTTTTTCACTTTCGCGCTATAGTGACGTCATTAATTTAAGCGCGAACATCTTCCGCGCCCAAATGAGCAAAAACGGGTGCGAGTTTTACGGCCGGTCGAGTTAGCTTCCCGGAGCGGGTAGTGACTACGGCGCATCGGGCTATATTGTCTTTTACGTAATTAAGGGTTTATATACGAGCCAAAGGTTAGTGTCCCCTTGGGCTGCGTTCACCAATCCAAACTAAATCCCCTGTTTTTAAACTAACGTCACTATCTGAGTTCCACTTACTGCGTTTATTCAGCGCTGGCACATAATATCGCAGCCAACGACTCCAAATTGAGTTGGCGTAGCTTTGCGCTCGGATGTATTGCTTTCGATGGTCGAAGTGCTCCTAGAAAGAGAGAGAAGGGAAGCTAGTACCATTTCCGCCGAGCAAAAAGTGATTAGGAAATAACTCCTCAAAACCATCCGGACTTGCACTTACTGATGTTATAGGTCGACCGTTCAGTGATTGATTTACGAGACAGAAAACTGTTTCAAGGACTTCGGGAGTGAGCTTTCTACTTCCTATTATTGCGTAGAATACTCTTTTACAACACCGAAGGAGATGTTCACAAGAACCACCGTGATGCGGGGCTGCCGGTGGTTAAATTTCCACTTAATACCCTTTTTGACCAGCTCGGGGCATGCTTGTCGGTTCCACGACTGAATACAATTCAAAAGTTCTTTCTCGGCTCTCACAAAATTGATGCCGTTATCGGACCAAATGACTGATGGAGTGCCACGACGGGCAATGAATCTTTCGACTCCCATTACACACGAACTCGTGTCCATGGATGAGACAATCTCACTATGTACAGCTCTTGTGGTCATACATGTAAGAAGGAAGCACCATCGTTTTTCAGAACTCTTCCTGATTGAGACGTAAAAAGGTCCAAAATAAACAAAACCACAGTCCGTGAAGGGAGGCCGGTGTTAACCAAGCCTTTCAACTGGAAGCTCTGCCATCATAGCTGTGTCATTTTTGGCTGTGCGCTTCCTACATATAAGGCAAGGGACTTCAAAAGATTTTATTAAAGAGCGAAGGTTCAGGATTGCAAACTCTAAGTGAAATACAGCTCGCAGATAGTCTAAGAATTCGTGCTGATAGCGATAGTGAATATCACTTACGAACAATTTTACCAGATCATGCCTTCCATCAAGTATTTTGGTTGTTTTGTGTCATATTCAGTTCAACTAAGTGGCAAGTTTGCCCAGTTGAACGAATGAGGAATGCAGGACCCATCAACGGTGCATATTGTGCGATGCGACTAGACTTTTTGACGGTTTTGTCACAGGACTGGAATAACTATTCCGCTTCAAAAAATTCTTTCTGGGAAATCAAGAAAAGTCGTTGTTTGGCGATTTCTAATTCAACCGGATCGGTTATTTCCTTGACTTTGGTGCGGTAGTACCGGTGTTTCGGACTCAGTCTGAGCATGAAGGCAACCAATCGCTGGAATTTTAGAAACGAGTTTACGCTGGAGTTTACGAGCTGAATTCTTTTCATGCAAATAAAAAGGGTTGTTTTTTGTTTTTGGACAGCGTTTGAAAATTGGAGGTCTGCTCTAAACCTTACTTAAGGTCTCAAGCGGGACCAACCAGGCAGATTTTTTAAGTACATCTATGCTCGGCTTGAAAGGCCTCTCGCCAGTTTTCAGTAGACTTGGCCCATTCACCCAGCTGCTTGTTTTTAAGGACTCCGCTGAGATTGCTCTGGTTCCCGTTTCAGCAGGGTTGTCTCCGCTTAAGACGTGAAACAACTGGTCTACGGTCGTACTTTCTAGAATATCTCCAATCCGGTTTGCTTCGAACGTGGGTTGCTTACTACCTGAGTTTAACCACTGGAGCACAGTGGTGCTGCCAGTCCACATGAAAGTGTTTGACACAGGAATCGTCAGAGCTTTGAGGACTTCTTCCTTCAAGCGGATAGCGAGTAATGCGGCCTGCAGTTTAAGATTCGGGATGGAAAGCGCTTTCGTGGGCACGACTCTTGCTTTTCCAAAGACGAAGGCCACTTGTGTTTCGAGTGAAGTTTTCACACGGGCACGAAAAAAATCTACAGCACAAAAAAGTTCTTCTGAGCTGTCACCGAACATGTGTAACTCAGCCCAATCAACTGGTGCGGAGAAGTAGCTGCGCATTTTACTCATTTGTCCTAGAGATGCCAAATCAGAGTCCCAGTCAAGATATTTTGTCTTGCTATCAACGGGTAGCTCATCATCCCATTGTTGGCCACAAATGCGCCAGATTTTTTTCAAAAATAATCGCGCTCCTACGGTATAGGACGCTACGGGAACTATGAAGTCGAAAAAGGAAGAAATGAAACTTAACACTGTTCGCTGTGTTATCGAGTTTTTAACTTCACGATTGACACCACGGCTTACCACCAAAGTGTCGTCGATATGGTCCCACTTCTGACAAAGAACATGGGATGCATTATCCCCCAAGTTACAATATTTGTACTTTCTGTTGCGGCGCGCTTTGGGGCGGGCTTAACTCTTTATTAATTTTAGTTCCCTACTTATGAACTTAGTTAATTTGAAACCACCTAGAGCTAACCACCTAGAGTAATCAAGTCTTGACTCATTTTAAATGCAACATCAGGGTCCTCAAAGGAGTCCAGGTAGTCGTAATATAAAATTTCTCTAGAACTGCGGACGCTGCGTAAGGGATCATCGCCTGATTATCCATTGCAGTCCGTTGCAATGCATAATTTGAACACGTCGGCGAATCTCTCGCTCCAAAGATATGTCTGGTGTACTGGTGTACAACCACATCGGCTGTGGGGTCCTCCCGTTACAGAAAACGAGGACAAGGTTGGTCCTCTGGAAGGACGCCGACTTGTAGGAACATCCCTTTAATGTCAGCCGATACGGCAAAATGATGTTGAGGAAAACGAATGAGAACGAACACAAGGTTTTGCAGTAGGTCGGGTCCTACTAGCAACGATTTGTTCAATGACGTACCGTGGAATTTAGACGCTCTGTTAAGGACACGCCTCACTTTACCAGGGTTTGTTTGGGTTCACTACGGGATGGTGAGGAAGATAACACTCTTGTATGCTGCGGTTCGAAAAGTTATGGGTAGGAACTTGAATCACGTATGCTTTGCTCAAATCATCTTCGATAGTTTTTGAATATTGATTCCCTAACGAATCTTTCGCTAAACAATTTTCCAACGATTTTAAATGAACCAAAGAGCCATAGTCATCGTCTGGTAACATGATAGATTCTTCTGCCCAAAGCATGCCTACAGCGTATCTTGATCCATCATGGACGGTGAAGGAATCAAGTACTATAGCCGCCCGTTTGTCCTCGGCTGAACGGGAGTCGACCTCTTTGTAGGCTTCGTATGACTCTTTTTCATACCAGCGTTTGATTCGGCAAGCTAGTTCGGTATCATCCGTTTTGCACTTGAAACAAGTGGAAAGGAGACCAGTAGATGTCCGCATTGGGCCGCTCAAGACGCAGCCTAATAAAAGGCGAGCCGCGACGGGCAAGGTACGGATAGTTGCTCTGTAATGCAGGGATGTTGACGGTATCGGTACCGACTTTAAGTTCATCCTTGACAAATGCGGTTAATTCGAATATGTACTCGAATCCATCGAAGTTAGAAGATACCTTCATTTAAACTTGTTTCATTTTAACAACAGTCGTTGTGTTAAAACCATTTACTGTGAGATGCAAACCTCTTCCTGTAAGATTTAGGAATTTGACTAATTTAGCCGATAACCAGGACTGACTAGATGCTCAGTCACACAATATTAAACAATCAGCACTCTGGAAATCGGGGAAACGTGGAGCTTGATTATGGGCAGTAACCCTTTTGATGTTATGATTGATGATTGGTCGTTCGAGATTGCGCAACTTACATCCAACGGAACGGGATAAGTGTCTGCATGATGACTTGCTGAATGATTTTCTATCAGCGTTTGTGATCGCTTTATCTGGCTCTGCATTAGTTCTTGTTTGACCAGCAATGAGCCTTGTGTGGCTATCATTTTTGTCGGGATTTCGACCAGGATAAACACGTTCACCACCATGGAGATGTACACTATGGGTGCTAGTGCCACCTGGTTTGGTGCATTTTTTTGCACTGGCCATTGCCGAAAAGCGTGGTTCCCTTGTAAGCAGGAGATGCACAATTTGTTTTCCGAAGAGAATTTTGCACGTTGTGTTGGGGTTTTCTCCTTAAAAACAGAGCACTTCCACAAGGCATGTTTCCCCTTGCAGAAGAA